GAGCACTCGCCTTTAGTGTGACTGACAGCAGGGATTCCCTGTGGCTGAGGGGGGACGTGAGTGCGGGAGCACTCACCTTTAGTGTGACTGAGCCTGGGAGCACTCACCTTTAGTGTGACCGTGAACACCATCACAGTGAACACCAGCGTCCCAAACGTCCAGTTTCCAAATATCTGTTTGGGGAAAATAGTCCAAGTCATCTTGTTTTTATGTAGAGTTTTAGAAAATACATCTCATTTTTCTTGCTTGCCAACACTTCGAACCCCAAAGACATAAGAACTACGTTTTCTTATTATCATGTAAAAGACCATGCAACAGACCCTGCTTCTGGGGCACAGCAGGACACCCCAGTTTCCCCGCTGCGGCTTCCACCACCAGTCTGTGGCTCAGTGAGGGGCTCAGAGGCCCCTATCCGGAACTTTCTGCCCGCTCTTGACACTGGCCCTGCTCAATGCTCTCAGCCACAACAGATGTCGGTTGGTCCCAACGTCTCAAACTAAGCACAGAAACTCCCTCACAGCTGCCATTTAAACATCCATAATGCGAACCTGGGGCCTGCGAACCTCCTTTTTCTGTTTTGTGCTTTATGTAGAAGAGACAGACGCCTGATTACCCAGCCACACTGCACAGGTTTCAGGAATAGTCTTGTACATTTGTGTCTGTTCCCTTCTGAACTCAGCTCAGACTCCTGCCTCCTGTGGAAGAACAGCGGCTGGAATGTTCTGTGAGTGAATGATCAGGGAAAACAGCCAGGCACCCATGCAGAGGTGGAAGCACGGGGGCTTCTCACGGGAGAATCTCCATCAGGAAGGGAAGACAAGTAGGCAGGCAGGATGGAGCTGGACAGAGGCTGCCCTGCGTGTGGCCAGAACCACAGATCCACCAGCAGCACACCCAGGAGGCCATGGAGGAGGGAAGGCCAGCAGGACACACTAGCTGGCAACACAGCAGGATGCAGAGGGCACCGAGGTTTAGGGAAGCACAGACACAGACAGACCCTGAAGGATGGCACAGTGGACCTCTGAGGACCACACGCCCAGCCCGTGAGGACGGCACAGTAGACGCTGAGGACCACATGCCCAGCCCGTGAGGATGGCACAGTGGACCCCTGAGGACCACACACCCAGCCCATGTGGATGGCACAGTGGACCCCTGAGGACCACACACCCAGCCCGTGAGGACAGCACAGTGGACCCCTGAGGACCACACACCCAGCCCGTGAGGATAGCACAGTGGAACTTTGAGGACCACACGCCCAGCCCGTGAGGATGGCACAATGGACTCCTGAGGACCACACACCCAGCCCATGAGGACGGCACAGTGGATGCTGAGGACCACACGCCCAGCCCGTGAGGATGGCACAGTGGACCTCTGAGGACCACACGCCCAGCCTGTGAGGATGGCACAGTGGACTCTAAGGACCACACGCCTGGCCCATGTGGATGGCACAGTGGACTCCTGAGGACCACACGCCCAGCCCGTGAGGACGGCACAGTGGATGCTGAGGACCACACGCCCAGCCCGTGAGGATGGCACAGTGGACCTCTGAGGACCACACGCCCGGCCCATGTGAATGGCACATTGGACCCCTGAGGACCACACGCCTTGCCCGTAAGGATGGCACAGTGGACCCCTGAG